CCAGGTCGGGGACAGGGGCGGGGCCCCCCCCCCGGAGGGGCACGGGGGGGCTGCCGGGTCCCCCCCCCCCCCCGGGCAGACGACCCCCCCTCTCCCCTTCCTCCGGTAGGGGACCACCCCCCCAAGAAGGGGATGGGGGACAGCCCCAGGTAGGGGACACCCTGGGTATGGGACAGGGGCCACCCACAGGTAGGTGACAAGGGACCCCGAGATGGGACACGGGACCCCCCCCAGGTAATGGGATGAGGATGGCAGAGCTGTCCTGGGAGAGGACAAGGGGACCAAGAGCCAGCCTCTTGTCTGGGGACACCCCCAGGTATGAGACTTGGGGACACCCCCAGGTAGGGGACAGGGGCTCCCAGGTGGAGGGGGACATGGTGGGGCCACCACCAGTTAGGGGACAGGGCACCCCCAGGGTAGGGGATGGAGGGCTGTAGGGTCACCCTGTGGGGACAGGGGATTGCAGGGGGGGTGGGCTGCAAGGCTACCCCCCAGGTAAGGGACAAGGGGACAGCGGGGCCACTCAGGGGAGGGACAAGGGGACAGCAAGGGCCGTGTCCCCCCACCCTGTCCCTTCTCCCTTGGGTATCCTCCAAGGGGACATCAAGGGCTGTGTCCCCCCACCCTGTCCCTTCTCCCTTGGGTATCCTCAAAGTGCTCTCCAAGGGGTCCCCAGGGCAGGGGACAGAGTTGGGGGACAGCTGTAGGAGGGCCGTGTCCCATCCCAATTTTGGGGGGGCGTTAGGGGGTGCCCCATAAGTGGTCCTCTCCCTGTCTGTCCCCCCCCTCGGCGCCCACCCCAGGAGATTTTGGGGCGATGCTTGCAGGAAACCAAGAGGGGGGCCCTTCCCACCCTGGCCTCGGCCACCCCAAAACAGGATAGAGCTATGTGCTGGGGGGGGACCCCATTTTAAAAAAAGGGGGGGACAACACCCCATTAATGCCCCCCTCAAGCCTCGACCACCCGGACGGCCCCTGGCTGTTGGGGGCGGGGGGGACCCGGGGAAGTGGGGGGGTGCCACGATGGGGCCGCCGGGATCCCGTCAGCCCCGGCACAAAGAGGAATGCGACGAGCACATGGTTCCCATTAGCCCCGGAGATTATTTATTTTTTTATTTTTTTTGTGCTTTGCTTTTTTGGGTTGGTTTAGGGGTTTTTTTTGGTTTTTTTTTAATGATTATTCTCTTTTTTTTTTTTTCACCCCACCCGCCACCCCTTTATGCTTGAGTCAGAGGCTGAAGTCACCGGTGAAGCTTTTCCCCCGCCGCAGTGTGTGTGTGGGGGGGTGGGAATGGCTGCCCCCCCCAAAAGGATGCACCAACATCCGTGAGCGGGATTTTTGGGGGAGCGGAGCCACCCCGCGCCGGGGCATGAGACCGGGCAACTCGTCACACAGGTATTTCTCAGGCCCACGATTGGGCTCAGGGGGGGAATCCTGCTTCACCGGCACCGCCTGGTTAAAGCCTCGGGGTGTCCCGTCCCGTTCCCCCCCCACCTCCCCACCCCAACCCATCCCGTTTGGGAAGGGGAAGCTTCTCTCCAGCTGCTTTTCCCGTTGGGAAGCTGAATAAACAGCCCTTTTCCTTCCCGAGTGAGGTTTATCGGGGTCGGGCGCATCCGGCCTGTGCCGGTGGGGGGATGCTCGGGGGGCCGTGTCAGTGACGGGGACGCGGCGATTCGCTGTGTCGTGCCTCAGTTTCCCCATCTGCAAAAAATAAAGGGGGGGATGCCCCGGGCTGGGGGTGATCAGCGGGGAAATGGGGGTAAGCAGGGAGGGAATGGGGGGGGGACAGGACTTAGAAACACCCCAAAAAAGGGTTTGCAAATCAGATCCTATTGCAATCCCTGTTTTTAGGAGGAAAGGTGGGGTTTTCCTGCTGCCCACAGGGAATTTAATCCCAGGTGGGGGAAATAAGAGGAAATAAATGGGATTAAAATTGTAAAAAGGGTGGGGTTTGGCCACAGAGGCACTAAAATGGGCAATTTTGGCTGCTGCTGCTTCATCGGGACCCTTTACCCTCTGTCCTCCCAGGCACGAGACCGTTTATTGCCGTGACGTGGGACGGGGACACTCACTCCTTCCCCCTTTCCGGGAAGGCGAGGAGGGAGGCGGGTTGAGGCCGAAGGGCGGCACGGCTCCAGGAGCTGCCAGTGCACCCGTGGGTTTTGCTCCCTATTTTATTTTTTAATTTTTTCCTCAAATTCAGTTTTCACCCAGGTCCGGCCCTTCCATGGCTTCGGTGAAAGCAGAGAAGAGGGTGGCTTCGTCTATCTTCATCACCCTGGTGCCACCCCGGAGAGAGGTGGCCATCAAAGAGCCAACCCCAAGGGAGACGCGGCCGGTCGGTGCCGAGGTCCCGGCCACCCGTGGCCCCCGGACCCCCCCGGTCCCCAACGGAGGTGAGGGGTGTGTTGTCGGGGGGCTGCGAGCGGTGCCGGGAGGATGATGATGGTGGTGGGGATGCTGCGGGATGCTTTGCTTAAGGATGCGGGTGCAGAAGGGGAGGGATGGGAGGAGGGTGGGAGTTTGGGGGGGATTTTTTCCCCAAATCCCTGCGATCCCCCCCCGGGGAAGGATCTGGCTGCCGGGGAAGGGCTGTGTTTGCTCTCTATCGCCGGGCTCTTATCGCTGCTGTTTGTCCCCTCCGGCCGGGACGGCGTTTGCTTTTGGGGCAGGTCAATCAGCGCCACTGCAAAGCTGTCGGGGTGTGATTGCCACGGGGTGTCACGGGACATTACGGCCCCCCACAAACCCACCGCATCCGGCTTTCACTGCAGAAACCCACCCGGCAGCCCCCGTGCCTTCATCCCCACCCGTCCTCCTCCTCTCTGATGCCCCCCAGCCCCTGTCGGCGGAGGCGCTGAGTCAGACCCTGCAGCAACTGGACCTGGCGGCACCCACCACCCTCCAGGTGAGGATGGTGGGGTGAAATCCCCCCTGTCCCCCCAGTGCCTCAGTTTCCCCACCTGCCAGGGCATAAATACAACATGCTTTTGCCTCCCCCCCTGCTCACCAGGCCCCGTCTGAGTTCCCTGCCGAATTGAGGCCACCCAAATCTTGCCAGGAACAAGAAGAGAAGCCCCAATGGCAGGATGCAAACGGGTACCCGGAGAAGGATGGCTCCAGAGGTAAGGGGGGGACACCCAGGTGTGCAGGGTGGGTTCATCCCTGGTTGGGGAAACTGAGGCCAGCAGCAACTTCTCCCCCCAGATATCTGTGCCTTCTGCCACAAGGCGTTGGGGCCGCAGGAGCCGGTGGTGGAGGCCATGCACAAGCAGTACCACGCCGACTGCTTCACCTGCCGGACCTGCCACCGGCGCCTGGCCGGCCAGCGCTACTACCAAAAAGATGGACGTCCCACCTGCGACACCTGCTACCAGGTACCCATCCTCCCCCGGGGACAACGGGCACCCTCGGAGGATGCCATCATAGAATGGCTTGGGTTGGAATTTCACTGAATTTCACTGAATTTTTAGAGTTGGAAGGGACCATAGAGATCATCTAGTCCAACCCCCCTGCTGAAGCAGGATTGCCTAGAGCTAGAGCATGTTACTCAGGAGCATCCAGGCGGGGCTTGAAAATCTCCAAGGAAGGGGACTCCACACCCTCCCTGGGCAGCCTGTTCCAGGGCTCTGCCACCCTCACCGTGAAGAAGTTTCTCCTCATATTTGAGTGGAACCTCTTCTGTTCCAACTTGTGCCCGTTGCCCCTCGTCCTCTCACTGGGAACCACTGAAAAGAGTCTGGCTCCCTCCTCCTTCAACCCTCCCTTGAGATACTTGTAGGCATTGATAAGGTCTCCCCTCAGCCTAAGGGACCATAAAGACCAACCAGTCCCAGGTGGGCAAGGACACCTCCCACCAGACCCAAAGCCCCGTCCAACCTGGCCTTGGTGCTGTCCCTTGGGAGGTGGCATCTCACGGCGTGTGTGTGTCCCACCCAAAAACCACCAGGCCACGCTGGAGAAATGCGCCAAGTGCCAGGGGGTGATCACCGAGTGCATCATCCGTGCCCTGGGCAAGGCCTACCACCCCGACTGCTTCTCCTGCGTCGCCTGCGGACGGGCCATCGGCGCCGAGACCTTCGCTGTGGACGAGCAGGATGAGGTCTTCTGCGTGGATGACTTCTACAGGTCGGGGAGCATGGAAAAGGGGGGAGCGACCCCCACTTTATTGGGGGTTTGGTTGGTCCCCGTCTCCCCGTTGGGCTCACACCACCCTGGTTTGGTCCCACCAGGAAATACGCAGCGGTTTGCGGCGCCTGCGAACAGCCCATCGTCCCCCGTGGGGACAAGGACACCTACAAGATCGAGTGCCTGGGACGCAGTTTCCACGAGGGCTGCTACCGCTGCGAGGTACAGGACCCCCCCCCAAAAAAAACCTGAGGGGTTCAGCTCCAAGCCTTCACAAAGCAGGGCCACGGGGTTATTTTTTGGCCATGGGGTTATTTTTTAGCCACCGGGATGGGGGGAAAAATAAATTAGGTGAAAAGGATGATGCATTTGCCCAGGAGAGCTCTACCTTTTCACGCTTTTTGGCAATTTGTCCCTTTTTCCGAGGGCTGGTGGGTTTTGCAGGAAGGGTGGGATGGAAGGCATCACGGGGATCCCTAAAATGTGCCCCCTTCCCTTTCTTCTCTTGCCCCCAGAGCTGCAGGACGCCCCTGTCGCCGGAGCCGACGGAGAAGGGGTGCTACCCCCTGGGCGACCACCTCCTCTGCAAGTCCTGCCACGTCCGCCGGCGCAACGAGTCGTCCTGCTGAAAACCCCGCGGCTCCACCTCCCTCTTCCAGCGCCGGACACCCAAAAAAATAAGGGTTCACCCACCAGGATGCACCCTGCCGCCGGTCCCGGGTGCCCACTGCACCCCCAAATAGCTGCAGGACTGGAGTTTTCCTCCCCAAAACATACCCAGGACCCCCATCTGTGGGGCTGGCCAGGCAGATACAACGTCCCAGCACTCGTCATGAGTGTAAAAAGCCCTGACAGAGCAGCGGTGGTGGAGGAGCCGAGGTTATATTCACTTATTTCTTTTTTTAAACTCCTTTTCTGAGGCCAGTTTGGTTTCCTTGGGTGTTTTTTTTTTTTTCCTTTCAAGAGTTTCCTTGGAGTTCCACTTAAAACGTTTCTCCCTGCGGTGACGCAGAGAACAGGCACTGATTTACTCGCAGTTAAATAAAAACCCCGAGTTTAAAACCCTGCGTTTCTTTCATCTGCCCATAAAACACAAGTTTAAAAATAAGAAAAAAAAAAGGGGGAAAAAAGCCACTTATTTAGATTTTATAAATGTGGCAAGAGTCAGGTCGCTCAGGGCGATGATGCCTGGGGTGCAGTGATTTGGGAGATCGCCCGGGGAGAGGGGAGGGTCTTTTTTTTGGGGCTGGATTTGGGATTTTGGCGCTGTGCCACGGTGTGGATGGAAGTGTGTCCGGTGGTGGGTTATTTTGCTGCCAGCCTGGGCTCTCCCGGCTCCATCCCAGCCCCGGAGCCGGCAGAGGGCAGTCGGAGCACAAATTCCTCCAACAAGCAGAAAAAAAACTAAACTCCGGCTAAAAACAGTCTCTCCTGTATCCCCCAGCGCCCCGATGCTGGGAAAGACCCCACAGCCCCATTTTTGCGCTTTATCCAAGATAATCTTGCTCCGCCAGCAGATGCTTTTTGGTCTTCTTCTTGGTCCAAGCCCCAAACCAGCAGAAATTAGACCATTTTTTCTGCATGCTCTACATCTGTGCACCTCATGTCACCGGCGCTTAGCGGTTTGGTTTGCGAGGGCGTTGCAAGGCAGCCGGAGAAAGAGGGGTTTTCTTTTCAACCGAAAGTGCTTGAAAAGCCACAAATTGAGAGCAGAAAATAGCATGAGCAGCCAAGGCGCTGTTTAATGCTTTCCTCATTTAAAAAAAAAAGGGAGTTTCTACCAAAAAAACCCCCCACCAAACCAGCAGCCATAGGCTTCTAGGTCATGTTGTATAATGTCTCTCCGGCACGTGCTCTATTTATGACCGAAAGGGTTAATGTATAGTTAATTAATGTATGCACTGGAGTCTGGTGGGTTAATTAACCACACCAACCCCACAACCATTTCCTGATGCCTCTCCCCCACTATGTTGACAAAGCCAATTACTCAACGTTCGTTAATACGCATCTATCAGGTTGCAACTTGCTATAACATCCTCTTTATAAAGAAGTTTAATGTAAAGTTGCGATCTGTCCCGGTCACGTCCGTTGGTGGTTTTGGGGTCCGGAGTGGTGGGGACCCCATGTCTTACCCCTGGGGAAGTCCCCTGCCCTAGGTCAGCTCTCGCTTTCTAAAGCTTCTCGCCCCCGCGGGGGAAAACCAGCCACTAAAATGATGTTAAAAAAGTTAAAAAAAGACGTGGGCAGGCTTGGCGGCGGGGAAGGGAAGCCCCAGAGAGCAAAAGGTTGCCTGTCTTTTTGCAATCTGGGTGTTTTTTCCAAGAGAGGTTTTCAGGGAGGGTGGAAAGGCCGACGCTGAGTGGCATTTTGGATGCAGCACCCATGGGTGCTACCCCTCTGCAGAGCGAACAGTGGGAAGGGGGTGGGCATTTCCCCTGCAGAGCAAACCACAATGGGCTGTCAGCAACAGGAACACGGCGATTTTTGACTGGAGACAGGCAGGGAGATGTTTTTATCCATACAAATCCCTGGAGAAGATGCTAAAGGGTGAGGAGAAGGGCAGGATGCAGCTGGAGAGTTTGGTGTAGGGACACAGAAGCGGCCAAATTTGATGTATTTTTCCAGGAGAAGACCACAAGGGACAGGGATGGCTGGGTGACGTGGCGGGGTAAGGTGATAACAGACTGATTTGAGCTGTTTTCTTCTTGGAGGAGGGGAGAAGCACTACGAGCTGAGGCCCGGGGAGCGTTGCTAAGCCTGAAAAGCACGGCCCCGCGGTTTCCCCTGGAAGGATTTCGAGGAATTTCCAGTGCTGGCCAAGCCCTGCGTGTGTGTGTGGAGGAGATGTTACAGGGGCTGCATGAGCTGGGTCCTCTCCCTCCCGGCCCTGAGCAAACCCACGTCGGCTGGGCCCGTCCTTGGGCTCCTTGCCCTGCTGCCAGCACCTATGCGAGACCCGATGGCAAAAATAAAACAAATATAAATCACACACAGAGGAGTACAAAGCTCCTGCTCTGCTCTGGGAAATCCCCAAAGCCTTGTGGAGCTCCCCATCCCGCAAGGTGTTAAACCTGCTCGAGGTCTCACATCTTATTCCAGGGCAGGGCAAAAGGGCAAAGAGGATCGACCGCCTCCGAATGGCACCGGCCGGGCCCTGCCCGTCCCTCGGTTGCTGCAATCCTCCCGTCTTTTCTCGCAATCCCTCCTGGCAGCCCGAGGAGCGCGGGGAGGGACCTGGCTGCCCTCCAAGGACAAGCAAATGCGAATATTTCTTCATTTCTTCAGGCTGGGTGCGGCCCCGGGGGGGATAAAATTTACCCGGGTTTTCCCAGCGAAGGCATCCCATGCCGTAACCCTGCTGCGAGCCCAGTTTGCTCCCAGGAATGCCACGGTGTATCCCATTAAAGAACACCCAAACCCCCAAAGGTTGTCTTCTAACTCAAAAGGACTGCCTGGTT